TTACCCTCTCCCTCACTTGGAAGTTCATCTCTCACTCCCTCCCCATCTCCCATTCCACTCCTTGTCTCCTTCCCATACTTCTCACTTCCTCCTTTCTCATACTTCCTTCCCCAACAGGAATCCTCACTTTGAGGTAACTCTGTTGACTGGAGATCTGACACATGCATCTCACCTGTAGCCACCTGTCTGCAGGTGTTCCTGCTGCTCTCTCTGTAGCCTGTGTATACAACTGACTCAGGAGCACAGCTTAATTGTTTGCCCACAGCTCACGCCTTTCCACTTTCGTCATGGCTTTTATAATTACCGAGGTGATTGCATAAGGACTATATTTAATCACACAAGTTATTACAGTCTTATGTTTTCCTTGATGATTAGTATGGCATACCAAGAGTATGTTGCATTATATTCGATGTATGTCACTCATAATGGCATGCCCCCGACCAGTGAACCAGGTGCTAAGGGTTTAACGATCAAAGGGGCCCCGTCGTTTTACCAGTACCTTGGTTCAACTCATTAATCACAAGGAAGCCTGTCAAAGTTGTGAAGCGATGTGGTACACTCGTGGAACAACTTTGGCAGACTTGCCTTCGCTGTTGGTCGTTCATGGTTCACAGTGTCTTATGTTTGCTTTTGCCTCATTGTACACAGTGTAAATACTGTACATAAGCTATGATACAATGTAAATACCAGCTTGTTTTGGTAAAGGGAATATAATTCATTTATTCTCTGCTTTGTTTTTGCTTGTTCTCAAGTGGTAATCGCATTATGGCAAGGAGTGCAGGCCATATAATAATAATAATAATAATAATAATAATAATAATAATAATATCTTTATTTCTACAAGTACATGTACAAGGTATACAGTCCTAGCTGACATCAATGACATATTACTATATAGAAAGCCGCTCGTTATGCAGAGCATTTCGGACAAATTAGGTCAGTTTTGTCCCAGGATGCGACCCACACCAGTCGACTAACACCCAGGTACCCATTTTACTGATGGGGAACATAGACACCCGATGTAAGGAAACACACCAATGTTTCTACCTTCGTGTTCGTAATAATTGGTAATGGGGCATTGATACAAAATGCAACATCTATTAAGTGAAGATATCTCCAGAGAATACTAGGTTAACGTATTGATCTCCCTCTGGTATCAGAGAATACTAGGTTAACGTATTGATCTCCCTCTGGTATCAGAGAATACTAGGTTAACGTATTGATCTCCCTCTGGTATCAGAGAATACTAGGTTAACGTATTGATCTCCCTCTGGTATCAGAGAATACTAGGTTAACGTATTGATCTCCCTCTGGTATCTAGCCTGGTTCTGGGTTCGTAACAGTTTGTCAGCGTGTATTCTAATCCAGTTATCCTGTAAAATTATTTGGCCTCTCAATAACTCTTTTGGACTGCAACTGAACGAATACAAACCAACCAAATAAAAACAGAGTTGTTTAGGTGGTAATAATTACAGTTAATGCAGTTTGAATAATTAAGGAGACAATCTCCACAACTCTTGGAGCATAACTTAATATACTTGTATATCATATTCTGTACATATCATATGGTGTATGCACACATTAGATGATAGTACACTATAGTACACTTATGAGCAGGTACCATCTGTTAGGTTACTATGATGACATATGCTCATAAGTACAGGAGTAATATATGGGTGTAAGTGTATGTGTTTTTGAGTTTACCTGGAGAGAGTTCCGGGGGTCAACGCCCCCGCGGCCCGGTCTGTGACCAGGCCTCCTGGTGGATCAGAGCCTGATCAACCAGGCTGTTACTGCTGGCTGCACGCAAACCAACGCACGCAAACCAACAGCCCGGCTGGTCAGGAACCGACTTTAGGTGCTTGTCCAGTGCCAGCTTGAAGACTGCCAGGGGTCTGTTGGTAATCCCTTATGTATGCTGGGAGGCAGTTGAACAGTCTCAGGCCCCTGACACTTATTGTAAGATAAGATTTCGTTCGGATTTTTAACCCCGGAGGGTTAGCCACCCAGGATAACCCAAGAAAGTCAGTGCGTCATCGAGGACTAACTTATTTCCATTGGGGTCCTTAATCTTGTCCCCCAGGATGCGACCCACACCAGTCGACTAACACCCAGGTACCTATTTTCTGCTAGGTGAACAGGACAATAGGTGTAAGGAAACGTGTCGAAATGTTTCCACCCGCCGGGAATCGAACCCGGGCCCTCCGTGTGTGAAGCGGGAGCTTTAGCCACCAGACCACCGGGCCACCACATGGTCTCTTAACGTGCTAGTGACACCCCTGCTTTTCATTGGGGGGGATGTTGCATCGTCAGCCAAGTCTTTTGCTTTCGTAGTGAGTGATTTTCGTGTGCAAGTTCGGTACTAGTCCCTCTAGGATTTTCCAGGTGTATATAATCATGTATCTCTCCCGCCTGCGTTCCAGGGAATACAGGTTCAGGAACCTCAAGCGAGTGCTCAGTATTTGCTCGGATTGACTCGACGTAGACTTAGAATGTGACTGACAAGAAGTCACTAGATAAGCTAACTTCTGTAAAGTAAAAGGACACAAGTGCAACTAATGTGACATTTATTGTGGCAACGTTTCGCTCTCCAGGAGCTTTATCAAGCCATTACAAACAATACATGGACACAGAGGGTATATAAAGGCTCAGAGTGAGGTGCAATACTAGTGAGGTAACATTTCGATGTTCACTAGTGGTAGTAGTAGTAGTAGTAGTAGTGGTAGTGACAAAAGTAATACAATATGATAGAGCAATTAATTCGTACAAGAGTAAAAGGATATAAAAACTATTACTTGGGTAACATAAAAATAGGTTGGACAAATATAGACTGGAAAGAGGCAGCTTGTTTCAGTGTTCACTCTCTGTATTACTTGTATTACTTTTGTCACTACCACTACTACTACTACCACTAGTGAACATCGAAATGTTATCTCACTAGTATTGCACCTCACTCTGAGCCTTTATATACCCTCTGTGTCCATGTATTGTTTGTAATGGCTTGATAAAGCCCTGGGGACGAAAACGTTCCCACAAAAAAAATGTCAATTAGTTGCACTTGTGTCCTTTTATTAATATTGTCGGAAATTCACCAACTTTATTAAAAAGCAAAACTTCTGCTTGAAAAAGTGCAACCCATTCGTCAAAACAGGTAATGGTCGAAGCAGCAGTGAACAACAGCATCGGTGAGGAATAAAAGGGAAATAAAAAACGACCCTAACTGGGACTTTCGGCAGATCCTCCCAATGGCAAACACCTTTACGGGGAAACTGAGTTTGCAATTCCAGTTTCCTGACTACGACAGTATTATGCAAAACATTTTTAGGTGAGAGTTGAACGGGGAAGCAGAGATAGGCGCGTGTTCATGATACAAAACCCCTCTGAAAACTTCAAATATCAGTAATTTAAAATTAATACTCTGTGAACAGGTACGAGATGTTGCCCACCCACCAAGGACACATATTTAAAACAAAAATGTCTAATAACACGGTGGGGGGAGAACATTCTCCCAGACAGGCGAGATGGTGTTACCCCCACGAGAACGCGAGTGAAGAAAACAAGACCGACAAACAACAGGAGTGACTTGTACTAGCGGGAAAAGGGCTTTTAAAATACATTTACCAGGCATGAGAAATATGTGTAAAAAAAACGCTCTTAAAAACTCAGTGAGGATTTATTCGAAAAAGGACGCGTATTGGGCATTTTGTGGCCGAAGATGCAGGGGGGTTTTTTAGTAGAAAAGAAGAGCGACATGAGCAAGTCGTCATGGCTCGGTGTTTTTGGTAAAAGGGGGGGGGGTGATTTTTGGGGAAGTTTTGCCCTAGGTTGTAGTGGAGATACAAATAAATTTTAGTCCGGTGGAGGCCCCGAAGGTGGGGTGTCAAGCCCCCCGTTAGTAAGTGTTAACTTAAACCACTTGATAGTGAGTTGTAGAGTAAGTTGTGTGTTATATAATAAATGTTACTTACTATTAATATATTATATTTTTGTATATGTTTTTGTGCCCTTCCTAACAGTTAATATAAATATAAATATTGGCCATTTACTTAATTCTTTTTGTGAAGAAACAAGCTTAGCCCTAGGCTGGTATAGTGTTCTTTAAGTTATTAAATGCCCCTAGACAGGGGCATTTCAAATATTAGGGGGAGCAATCTTTAATGGTATGGTAAGAAATAGATGGAACGTTTCGTGGGTTTAGGCTGTGTAGGCACAAATTTTGTTTGATAATGTGCAACAACTGAAAATGCATCTTGTGGACAGCCTAAACTGTGGTGGAGATGTTTCCTGAGACACTTGATGTTACCTTGTGTAAGTTATCATGTGTTACTTTTATTACTTGGTGTCTCTAAAATAACTGGAGAATGTCTCTTCTGACCAGAAACAATTCACAATAGTTGACTTTATTTGGTTAACTTAGGTTAAATTAACTTAATGTTATTTTATGTCTGTAGCATGTGTCCTCACGACCGTTGTTAAATATTTGTGTATACTAAGGTGACATAAACCTTGCTTACTTCCTTACCTGGAGAGTATACCTGGAGAATATACCTGGAGAGTATACCTGGAGAGTATACCTGGAGAGCATACCTGGAGAGTATACCTGGAGAGTATACCTGGAGAGTATACCTGGAGAGTATACCTGGAGAGTATACCTGGAGAGCATACCTGGAGAGTATACCTGGAGAGTATACCTGGAGAGTATACCTGGAGAGTATACCTGGAGAGCATACCTGGAGAGTATACCTGGAGAGTATACCTGGAGAGTATACCTGGAGAGCATACCTGGAGAGTATACCTGGAGAGTATACCTGGAGAGCATATATCTGGAGAGTATACCTGGAGAATATACTTGAAGAGTATACCTGGAGAATATACTTGGAGAGTATACCTGGAGAGTATATATCTGGAGAGTATACTTGGAGAGTATACCTGGAGAGTATATATCTGGAGAGTATACCTGGAGAATATACTTGGAGAGTATACCTGGAGAGTATATATCT